GATATCCTTTACTATCTCCAATTTATAAGGCTTCTTTATGGGTTCCTGGCTTCGACAGACCCTCCCTCAGTTTAAATACAGGAATCTAAAAATTCAAAGCTAGAATATATATATATATATATATATATATATATATATATATATATATATATATATATATGAGAGAACATATGGTATTTGTCTTTCTGGGTCTGAGTTGCCTCACTCAGTATAATACTACCCAGTACCATCCATTTTCCTGAAGATCTCACAGTCTCACTCTTTAACAATGAAGTAGAATTCTACACTACATATGGACCACATTTTCAATATTCATTCATCAGTTTGTGGACAAGATCTAGGCTGATTCCATTTCCTGCCTCTATTGTGTCTAGAGCTGTAATGTGCATGAATGTGCAAATATCACTATTTCCCTGGAAATATATACATACAAGTAAAAATTATATGATGGAGCAGGTTATATTTACATATTTAGAAATATATAAATATATATGTAATAGCAATTAAAGAAAAAGAGATTATGAATTTGAAAGAGTGCAAGGAGGGGTATGCATTGGAAGGTTTGGAGGGAGGAAAGGGGAAGGGGGGAAATGATATATTATAATCTCAAAAAGATTGAGAAAAATTCAAAGCTAAGAATAGGACTTCCATATGCTCTAGCTGTACCATTCTTAGACATATTCTCAAAGGACTCTAACCTACAACAGAGATCTGTTCACAATGACCCATGAGCATTAACTGCAGGCATTGCATTGCAGATATAACAGTTGGGACTGAGCTCCACGACTCTGTATTTTTCATTGGCTGTAGCTTTCTGGAATGGTCTCCATCTGTTTCAAAGACAAGTATCTTCAATGAGGAGTGAAGATGGCACTTATCTGTGGGTATAAGGACAAATACTTAGAGTGTAGTTAAGGATTCTTTTGGTTTAGTAAAGTGGTGGTTGGTTTTAAGTTGTCCTTCAAGGTCCATGACTTGACTAGCTTTGGGCGGTTGACTAGGTTTCCAATACCAGGCGATTTTCCTTTGGTTGAATGGATCTTAACTCAAATCAGGGGGATGTTGATTACCACCGAGGTATACCTGCCACTACTTCACCCCTGAGGTCGTTGTGCCAGGCTAGTGGTTGCTGTAGTTCATAGGCCTCCAAGCTACATGGGACTGTTGGTGGCTTCCTTCCTTTGGAAGCTTGCATGGTGCCTTCAGGTACCATGGAAGCTAATCCTCAAGGAGGAAGTTTTCAGGACAGATCAAACTCAGGAGTCTCAGGGCCCTGATGAGCACACATGCACATCTATTGTAGCTCGGATTATTTTTCCTCATTTCTTTCTCCGTACACTTGCCATTGGTTTACAGAAAGTCTATTGAGTTTTTGAATGTTAATTTTGTATCCTGCCACTTGGTTGAAGGTGTTTATCAACTGTGAGAGTTTTTCAGGTAGAGTCTTTAGGGTTACTTACCTATAGAATCATATCATTGGAAAATAAAAATATTTTTTCATCTTCCTTTCCTCTTTGCATCCCTTTTTATTTTATTTTCCTGTTTTGTTATTCTAGCTAAAACTTCAAGCAATATATTGAATAGGAGTGGAAAAGTGGACTTCCTTGTCCTATGTTTGATTTTAGTGGAGATGTTTCCCCGTTTATCATGGTGTTACCTACAGCCTTGTTATATACAGTCTTCATTATATTGAGACATGTTCCATCTATCCTTGTCTCACTAAGGCTTTTATCGTGAAAGGATATTAGATTTTTGTTGCAGCCCCCCCCCCCCCCCCCCCCCCCCCCCCCCCGCCACTTTTTGCATCTGTTGAGATGATGATGTGATTTCTGTCCTTCAGTTCATTTATTGTGGTGGGTTACATTCATTGATTTGCATGTTTGAACCATCTTTGCATTTCTGGAATGAAGTCAACTTGGTTATGGTGGATGATCTTTTGGGATGTGTTCTAGAATTTAGTTTGCTAATAGTCTATTGAGAACTTTGACTTTTTTTGTTCACCAAGGAGATTGCTCTGTAGGGGTTTTTTGTTGTATTTTTAGTTGGCGTTGGGCATTGGGATGATGGAAGCACTCCTTCCTCTTCTATTTTATGGACTAATTTGAGGAGTATCGGTTTTGGTTCTTCTTTAAAGGCCAGTAGAACTCAACAGTGGATTCATCTGGACCTGGGCTTTTTTAGTCTGGAAGTTCTTGATGTTTGTTTTTGTGTGTTGTTTTTACTGTGACAATCTCATAGCTGTCTGTGGATCTATGTCTTTTTGGTTTAGCTTTGATAGGTCATAGGTATTTAGAAATCCATCCTTCAGTTTAGATTTTATCATTAAGGATATAGGTTTTTGAGGTATGACCTTATGATCCTCTGGATTTCATCACTCTTTTGCAACGTCTTCCTTTTTTACAATAATCTCATTAATTTGGGAATTGAAAGTATGTGTGGTTCACCACATGCATGTAGCTGCCTCAGGAGGTTAGAAGAGGGTGTGATATCCCTTGGAACTCGAGTTACAGGTAGTAGTGAGCAGTCCGATGTGGGTGATGGGAGCTGAATCTGAGTCCCTGGGAAATGAACCTGGTTCCTCTGGAAGAGTCACAAGTGCTCTTAAAAACCATCTCTCCATCCATTCTAAGAGACATGCAGGCTGCTGAAGAAAAGTCTGTGTGAAGAAAGGAGCCTGAGGGTCAGCACACAGCCTTTCAAAGCTAGACTATGTGAGGTGCAGAATCCCTCCAGGAACTCCATACCATGGGCCTCTGCTATGAGAAAATACTTTTCTGTTATTTTAACCACCAGATATGTAGTAGTTATACTCATCACAGAAAACTGGTGCAGAAATTCTGAAGTGAATCTAATATGTTATGCCTACATTATCTTTTTTTTTTTTTTTTGGTTTTTTTCGAGACAGGGTTTCTCTGTGTAGCTTTGCGCCTTTCCTGGAACTCACTTGGTAGTCCAGGCTGGCCTTGAACTCACAGAGATCCGCCTGGCTCTGCCTCCCGAGTGCTGGGATTAAAGGCGTGTGCCACCACCGCCCAGCACCTACATTATCTTAATGTTCAGCTAGTCACTATCAAAAGACTTTAAAATGTTTATATTACTACAAATAAATCAAATACATTAATAACTTTTTAGAAAATAATTACTCTGAAAAGTATTTTTTAATTGAATGGTTTTATAGGTGGATAAATACAAGAAAGATAATCTTAATTTTATAATATTTTGAAGGCTATGAGATCCCTCTACAGATGTTTGATCAGATGTTCACAGCACAAATACGTTCACAGCCTAATATGCTGCTTTCTGTGGTGATACATGCAAACATCTCACACACACACACACACACACACACACACACTCACTTATACCAATATATCTGTCCTATCTCTGCCATGTCCAACATTGTAGCCACTAAGTAAGTGTGAACAGCAAGCACTTGAAATACGGTTTATGTGGCTGAAGAATTAAATTTTAAATTGTATTTCATTTCAATTCATTTAAATTTAGTTCCAGCAGTCATGGTGTCCTGAGTTCAGTGCCTAGCACAAAAAAAAAAAAAAAAAAAAAGATAACTCTAATGAAATGTGACTAGTGGCTACCATATTGGTAAGGGCAGCCTTAACCATTTTTTTTCCAAGTTAGGTGGCATGTAACCTTTACATTTGGGGAGCTGAAAAAGAGCACAATCTCCAATGGGTGGAGTAGACTGAGTCAGTCATGGTTGACCACATATCCTCATGGGGCAGAAAACATGTGGCATTCTCACATTGAGTTACTAGACCAAAGGAGTTGCAGTGATTGGATTGTTTGTAAATATGAACAGGACATAAAGAAACCATGATAATGGTGAACATCCAGTGGTGGTAGCAGAAAGTTGTTATCTGTGTGTTAAGTCTTAGGCCTCCTTGAAGGACACAGCAAACCGAATCAGACCGAATTGGGAAGCCCACGTTTAATGGGTAAAGCACTCCCAGGCAATTCCCCGGCCTGCAGAGAGGAGACAGGGACAGAGACCAGAAGAACCATGTGTCTGTTTTCGGGGATGGCGCTTATATATCCCCTGTGGGAGTGGTCTTAAGCCTCTCTCAGGGAGAAGCTGTGTTTGGTGGGCTTTGAAGTAGCAGGTTTAGGGAAAGAGATGGGGAGGGGAGTTGAGGTGGATCTTCCACCAGACTCCTTCCAAACATTCCAAACTCTTTGGGTATAGGAATGCCAGGGTGCCAGGGGTTGAGGTGGAGCTTCCACCCAAACATTCCAGACTCTTTGGGTATAGGGACACGGGTTCAAGTCTGACTACTTCCTGTGGGCATGGGGTGATGTGAGGAAGAGGAGTCGGGAATTGGTGAGCTCACATTCAGCAAAAGGTGTGAGTGGGCCGGGCGGTGGTGGCGCACTCCTTTAATCCCAGCACTCGGGAGGCAGAGCCAGGCGGATCTCTGTGAGTTTGAGGCCAGCCTGGTCTACAGAGCGAGATCCAGGAAAGGCGCAAAGCTACACAGAGAAACCCTGTCTCGAAAAACCAAAAAAAAAAAGGTGTGAGTGGAGGAGCATCCAGTTAATTGTCATCCTCAAGACCTCAGGCGTCTGTTTCTTGAGGAAGCAAAGAAGGCAAGTTTCTAGGAAAAAATAGATCATTAACATCTGCCTAGCAGAAGAGCAAACAGGCCCTTTATTGGGACATCTTGGAAAACTGGAGGGTGGAGAGTCCCAGCTGCTGGACAGGCCATGTATCCTGAATAGGTGCCCGCTTGATCCTGGAGAGATGGTACCAGCATGGATGTCCCAGGAGTCTGGCAGCCAAGAGGGTGGGGAGGATCACAGTATGGACGGAGAAGGGACCTCAGAAGGGAGAGGTAGGGGAGGTACCCGGCCAGTGAGGGAGTTTGGGCTGGGAGGTGTTGATTGAGGAGGAAGGGCCCTCTGTAAAGGAGCTCGAAAGGGCTCAAACCTTGTAGGAGAGCGTGGAGTGGTCCGGAGGCGGGTAAGCATTTTGAATATGAATATGAATATGAATATGAATCATTTGAATATGATTTTCTCTGCTCTTCTTTTGACCAGCCAGCCATGGGTACTGTCTGGGCAATTTTTGCTGCAGCTACTAAAGATAAATAACTTGGAACTGCTCAGGCTGGCTGAGTGATTCGCTGTGCTCCTGGGCAGGTGAGACACATCCAAGGGAATCCAGTCTCTCCACACCCCCTTTGGCTGTATGTCTTACAGTCCAAAGCCAGCAAAGCTGCGATCTCACCTTTTTCTGTTTCCTGGTGAGAAAACTAAGGAAAACCATTCTGATAGATAAATGAGAGACTGATGAATTACACCTCGACAGACAACCTAGATGTGTAAGCCTTAACAATCATTCACTAGTTTCCCTTCCTGGAATAGTCCCTTCAGCTTGCAAGACTTTCAGGAACTGTTTTTTAAAATTTATTTGTATCCATGTGCATGCATGTGTGGCCATACATCTGTATGAGCAGTATGTGCATGCAGTAACCTCAGAGGTCAGAAGAGGACACTGGAGTCCCTGGAACTGGAGTTACAGGTGGTGACGAGCCACTTGATGTAGGTGCTGGGAACTGAGCTTAGGTCCTCTGCAAGAACAGCAAGTGTTCCTAACCACTGAGCAATCTCTCTAATTCAAGCTTAAGAGATCTTTTTTATAACAAAGTAAATAAAATTAGCACTTTGTAAAAAAAAAATCTCACATTTTTATAAATAGTCTTTGAGCTTATCTCGTGAAATCAAGTGTTTATTATGAATATGTAGGAATGGTGGAGTGTTCCAGTCAGGCAGCAAAAAATCCTTTCTCACCAGTGTGCAATGTGCGGGGGATGCGGTTGTTTGTTTCTAGAAAGACATCGCTGATTGACTGTGACTGGATGTAAATTGCACTTGAACTGTTGACAGCTGTCCTTGTTAATTGAGGTTTAAATATTTTATATGATGGTTATATTTCCTTAGAATGAGTGAGCAATAACCTAGCCCCAGAGATGGAAGAGCTGCTCTCTTGGGGAGTGATAGCTCCTGAAGTCCTTATAAAATGACAGTGCCCCTTGACCTTATGTTTGACCTCCCAGGGTGAAGGTGCTTGTGAACACAGCTACCATGCATCATGATGCTTCCTTAGAATCCCTACAAGGAGAGAAAACGATCATGGACAGACCAGACCATTTCTAAGTGAACAACAACAGCAACAACAAAAGCAATAGAAAAGCGTTTAAGGTGTGTGATTCCCGTTGATATGGGAATAAATTGTAAGGAAATACTCCTGAATGTTCATGGAGGGACTTGGTGTAATTGCTTCTCTCTGATGTCATCCTGACTGTACACACCACCATGGACTTCACAGTGGACCATCACAGTTAACCAAGTGGGAATTCAATTAATTTAAAAAAAAATGTGTCTATAAGGTTACAAAATAGATACATTCTGTTTTTTACATACTATTTTCTTATCATCGTTGCTTAAGCAATACAGTGTAAGGTCTCACCCAGCATTTACATTGTATTCAGCACTATCAGTCATCTAGGGAGGAGGCAAAGCATACGGCAGCATGTACTTAGAAAATATGCAAGTATTATACCAACTTCCGTAAGGGACTTGAGGACGTGTTGATCAGAGGGAGGTCTTAGCCTCACAGACACCAAGGGACGACTGCATTACTTCTATAATCTGGACCTTTCCTAAAAACCACATGTCAGCTTTCTTCTTCCCCTCAATTCTTGAAATAGACTATGAAAGAAATAACACTTTATACTTCAGTATGGTGGAAAATAATAACCTCAGTGTCACACAAAGGAGCACATGAACATAGTGAAAGTAACTTGGCAAGGTAATTCCTTTTTGGAAGAAGGGTGTGTGCAGAACCCAGACTGGGCTAGTGAACATACTCAGTCAAGATAGCATCTGTGTTTTATTCTTGATATAGGCGGTGACTGTGTCTCACCCCATTGGTGGAAACGACTTTACAATCAGAAGTGGTTGGCTAATCGGGGCAAAGGGTAAGGGGGAGGTTCAGAGAATATGGGCCCTTGTTGGGCTAATTACCTTTGATAGAAAAAAAAAACAAAAAACAAAAACAAAACTATCCCTCACAAAAAAAATAAAGCACAAAAGATGCTTTTCAAAATATCTATCCCTTATCATCTTTTCTCTTTATTCTCTTTTTCTTCATCTCAATCAATGTCATGATGATACAGTAGATACTTTGTTTGGTGAGGAGTCCAGAACAAAGAATTTAATGAAGTTATGTGGATAGTAGCAAGCTAAGTCAGAGACTGTATTAAGAAAGTGCCCATTTCCAAGGGAGGAAGCCTGCTGACCAGAGAGGCGAGCAGCTTCAAAGGGGCCATCTTAAACTGCCACCCATGGTCATTTTAGCGTTATGATGAGCCACGGGCTACTCTAGGACACTGGAGTGACTACATGCACTGGTGGCTGGATTTTACAGAGACGTTTGGACATTCTTCATCCATTTTTTTTTTCGTGTGTTAATTTAGTAAGGCCTGGTGCAAGGTCTTCTGGACCTTGCTTTCTATTTTCCTGCCTCAGAAATTTCTACCACTGATTGTAACACTAGAAACACTGGACTCCTTTGCGTGTGGTCTTCACCAGGATCCTCAGTTCTAGCATTCAGCACTGACTGCTACCATGCGGCTCCCTTGCGCCCCTGCAAACCAACTCAGGAGCGGCCCTGCTGGGTTTGCTCTCCTCAAACTGTCTGTTGCTGCCAATGAGAAAGAGCTACCTGGGGGTTATCTTTACTGTCCCTGGTCTTTCTCAAGCAATTGTCCCCATTCTCCATCTTAACAGGAATTGCTCCGTTCCAGTGGCTGACAACAGCCTTCGGACACCCTTCACTTAGACAATGGCAACCCACTTTCTAATCTCTTCGCTCGCCCTGGCTTAGGTCTTCACAACAGTCCTGTGGAGCATGCGCTCTTCTTGCTGCCTCTTTAACAGTGACTCGCCCTCTCCCCGGATCTGAGCTCCTGCAGGGAGCTGAGATTTCACCACAGGAAGAGGACAGCCCCAAATCTCCTGTATAACTTCCTGCAACACAGGCCCTAGATGAGCAATGACAGCAATCATTTCTCCTTAGTTCTCACCACAGCCCTGGGGAAGAAGTAGGTTTGTCTCCATTTCTGGGTTTCTCTAGAAACCAAAACTCGAGAGGTTTTTTTTCTTTTCTTTTCTTTTTTTGCCAGCTTCGCCTCCCCACTTTCATCAGATTAATCTCAGCACATCAGCCAATTATCTTCTTGAAAAGAAGAGGAAAAGGGAAGAAAGGAAGGAAGTTAGGAGGGAGGGAGGGAGAGAGGGAAGGATGGAGGGAGGGAAGGATGGAGGGAGGGAGGTAGAGAGGGAGGGAGGGAGGATGGAAGGAAGGAGGGTGGGAGGGAGGGAGGGAGAGGATGGAGGGAGGAAGGATGGAAGGAGGGAGGAAGGAAAGTCAGGCAGGCCAATGTTTCTTTTTGCTCAAGGAACAAAAGTTGTTCGACTGGGCGTGCAGGGTCTCTTGATCAATGCCTGCTGGCTTTCCAGTGGGATCCATTCTCTCTCCTCCCTCAGCCTAGCCTCCTGGCACCACTCCCTCAGGCCCACAGGTCCTGCCTCTACTCATATAAGACCCAATGTCTCTTTTCACTCTCACCCAACTGCCCTGTGTCCACTCCGTCACACGGGCAGGGACTTTAAGAGTTTTCACTGGAGTCATCCATAGGCCAGCTGTACCCCAAAGGCTTCTCTGTCATCACACAGACCCTGGAAAAATAAAAACCATTCAGTTCTTCTGAAGTGCCAAGAGTAAGCTTGAGAAAACCATCTTGTTACATCTCCTGCAGTGATGTCCCATGGTGAACACTGTCAGCTCAACAACATATATAAAGTAATAAAATTTTAAAAAGGACGATTATTAGTGAGCAGAGTGGAGGCTGGAGGCAGGCTTCATGACATTTAGCTATTAACCCTAAGAGTGATGGCTAGGCTAGTCCCTGCACAGAGACCTCCTGTGCCCAGAAGATCTTTTACATTGCTTTGCTGCTAGAATCTAGCTTTAACTCCCACTCTGCCTATCCCTCTTCTGTGCCTCCTCCTCCTCCTCCTCTTCCTCTTCTCCTTATTCTCAAACCCTCTCATCAAAGAAAGTCGTGCTGGGATGATCAGTGCGAACAACATATTTGAACCAGCTGCTCTGCTGGCAGTGGGTGGGTGGGTGGGGGTGGGGGTCTCCTGTCCCCTGCTTGCCTCATTCCTGCTCTATGGCTCAGAAATCTGAACAGACCAGTTTGAAGGTCCCAGTGGGTGGTGTGTGCACGTGTGGGCATGCATCCCTGTTTAGAGGTGGGATGGAGAAAAAGGTAATTTTATTGTTCTTCTTCTTTTTTAATGTAACGTGCTCAAAGCTCCTCCCCACTTTCTCTCTAAACCTCTGACTTTATGTTCTGGGCTTCCTAGAACTGGGGTTGAATTGTAAGCCAACAAACACTTCTAGTGCTTGCCAAGATGCTTTCCTGCTGGGAACTCACAGCAGCCGCTGTCCCAAGAAAGCCGCAACTGACTGACTGTTGTTGTCCTGAGAGGGACTGCGAACTTGCAGGTTTTCATCTGATGATTTGCCTGAACTTCAACACAAATACTTCACTTCCTGCTTGCCTCTTGGAGGAGGCTTGCTATTATGCCATTCTTATCCAAACTCCACACAGTCACACCTGGAAGCATGCCCTTTTGCAGCTGCACCTGGATAATGCTCTTTCTGCATTATACCTGGAAGCATGCCCTTTCTGCAGCTGCACCTGGATGCATGTCCTTTCTGCAGCTTCACTTTGAAGCATGCCATTTTGCAGCTGCACTTGGATGCATGCCCTTTCTGCATTATACCTGGAAGCGTGTCCTTTCTGCAGCTGCACCTGGAAGCATGTCCTTTTGTAGCCGAGCTCTTTCTCTGTCCCACCAGCCAGCTCCCGAGTAATGACATGGAGACTTCTTTGGGCTGCCAACCAGTGCCCAAATAAAATTCCAACTACACTCTTTCTTCAGCTTCACCTGAATGAATGCCATTTCTGCAGCTTCACTTGGATGCATGCTCTTTCTGTATTATATCTGGAAGCACGCTCTTTTTGCATTATACCTGAAAGCATTCCCTTTCTGCATTGCCCCTGGAAGCAGGCGCTTTCTGTAAATGCACCTGGATGCATGCCCTTTCTGCATTGTACCTGGATTCTTGCCCTTTCTGCAGCTGCACCTGGATGCGTGCCCTTTCTGAGACAGCCTGAGTTTGTAACATCAACACAGAACTGTTTGGTAAAAGAGGAACAGTGGTACTCAGCAGAGACCACCAAGTGACAAGAGCTGTATAAACAGTTGTGGGTGGCTCAGAGCTCTATGAATTATTTGAAGCTCATCACTAGGGAAGGAAGCTGAGACCCCTCCTGAAATGAGCACATGCTTGTTGTTATCCCAGATGCTTCTCACATTGTGACCCCCTCCATTAATGTGATCCCTAAAAGTGTTTTATAGGAAGTAGCCTTTAATTGTAAGTCAACATCTACATGTAACGTTCAACCAAATTAAAAAAAAAAGTCTATTCCAAAGATGGAAGAAGAAACAGACCTTGATGACTGTACTGAAATAAGAAACCACATACAGAAAATTGTATTTACCACAACCCCTGGTTAATGACTGTGATTTCTGAGGGTGATTTTGAGCTCATTGTATCTTCTTTAAAAACAAGTCCTGTGCAAATGGCTCTGTTGTGCTTGGCTTTGTCGTAGGGGACACAGAGGATGCAGGCAGCAGCTTGTTGCTCTGTTAGGAAAGCTTTGAACTGGCTCTGGGGGAGTAGGGGAATGCTTTCAGACATGGACTGGGCCAGCAGCAGCCCTCACAGGGCGCTTACACTGAATGTCCTCCAAGGTTCTTTCCAACTAAGCTTTTTTTGAGTATATGATTATAAGTTCATTTGGAGGTCAGGGAGGGGAGAAACTAAAATTAGAAGGAGTTTTAGCAGGGACTTTCAGAATGGAGGAAGTTAGAAGGGCTTGCTTCAAAAGGAAGGGCTGCCGGGCTTTGGAGATTCAGGGAGACAGTGCATCATTCCAGGTGGAAATCTGTCTGTCGCAAGTGTGGAAGAGGCTGGGTGGGAGCAAGCATATGAAGGGCACAGTGAATGCTGATGGAAGAATGAGAAATAGAATCGAAAAGCACTCCGGAAAGACGGAAAT